GGCCTTGGTCAGAAGCCCACATAGTGTCTCCAGATGAGGGATGGCATTTGGGAGCTGAGTCTTTATTCTACCTTTTGTGAGGGTGTGGTGGTCATTGCTTATGTACAGGTGCTGGGTATACCGAAACAAAAAAAATGTGCCTTCTAATGGGACAGGCAGACAAACATGACAGGCAACACAAAAGAAGGAAAGAAATGGTGGTTCCAATGCTTACCTCTAACACAAATTGCTAAATGGTCTTATTAATATTAACCCCATAGCAAGATTGGGATGAAAGCTGAAACATCAGAGAAGCAGAGCAAGCCAGCCACATGTTCTCACCTCTATGAAACCCTCAGTCTAAATACAGAGAGTTCCTATTTCCTAATGCCTTCTATACCTTTTTCTGCCCTACCATCTTACTTCCTGGGATTCAAAGCATGTGTGTTTCCCAAGCAATTCATGAGCTCTCCAGTGTTGAAATTATAGGTGTGTGCCACTACAGCTGGCTCTGTTTCCACTGTACCCTTGAGCTCACAGAGATCTGGATGGATCTTAGTCTCCTTAATGATAGGATTAAGGATGTATACCATCACGGTCTGGTTTCTATGTCTAATCTAGTGGCTGGCTCTCTCCTCTGATCCCCAGATAAGTTTTATTGATGTGCACAATATATCACCACACTTACTTGCTGAAGGGACCAAAAGAACACAGCACTGAGGGGCCTTCTCACCTAAACACACCGTCTGGGGGCACTGTCTAGCACCATGAGTGAGGAGAGGGAGATGATCAGAACCAAAGCAGGAAAGTGACAGTAACAGAAGTCCCATGTTCAGGTGTCAGATGTTGGTGGGTCCTAATGGCTTCCTCGGGGGAGGGAGTAAAAAGGCACCACATCAAAGACCCAGACACTGGGAGTCAGATGAAAGACCAAGAGCAGACTGATTTATTTAATAATGGCCAAAGACATTTAAGGAAATGTTCCACATCCTCAGCCATCAGGGAACTGCAAATCAAAATGACTCTGAGATACCATCTTATGCCTGTCAGAATGGCTAAGATAAAAATACAGATGACAGCCTATGTTGGAAATGTGGAGAAATGGGAACACTCCTCTGATGCTGGTTGAAATGCAATCTTGTACAGCTACTCTGGAAATCAGTGTGGCACTATCTCAGAAAATTGGAAATCCACCTACCTCAAGACCCAGCAATACCACTCCTTGGCATATAACCAAAAGTTGCTCAACCACTCCACAAGTTCATTTGCTCAACCATGTTCATAGAAGCATTATTTGTAATAGCCAGAACCTAGAAATACCTAGATGCCCTGCAATAGAAGAATGGATAAAGAAAATGTGGTACAATTACACAATAGAGTATTATGCAGCAATAAAAGACAATATCATCATGAAATTCATAGACAAATGGATGGACCTAGAAAATAAATATCATCCTGAGTGAGGTAATTCAGACCCAGAAAGACAAACACGATATGTAATCACTCATAAGTGAATGTTAGAAGCAAAGCAAAGGATAACTGAGCTACAATCCACAACCTAGAGAAGCTAGGTAAAGAGGAGGACACTAAGAGGGACGGACACACATGAATCACTCCGGGAAGGGGAAAGGGTTAAGATCTCCTGGGCAAACTAAGAGGGGGAGATAGAGGGAAAGGGACGGGAAATGAAGGGAAATGTGAGCATGGGGGAGAGAGGGAGGGAGAGCAATTAAAGAGATATCTTGACAGAATGTACCATTCAGGGGATGGGAAGAAATCTGCAGCTGGGGAATACCCCAGGAACTCACAAGATTGTTCCCAGCTAAGACTCATAGAAATGGTGGAGAGGGTTCTAGAACTAGCCTTCTCCTGCACTTAGATTGGTGTCTACCCTAATTGTCATCATAGAACCTACATTCTGTGGCTGATGAATGCAGATGCAGAGACTCACAGCCGAGCACTTGGCCGGACCCTGGAGTTCAGTTGAAAGAGGGAGGAAGGATGGATTATAAGAGCAAGGGTAGTCTGAATCATGACGGGAAAAACCACAGAAATAGCTGACCTAAGCTAATGGGAGCTCATGGACTCTGGACTGACAGGTGGGGAGCCTGAATGGGACCAAACTAGGCCCTCTGAAGGTGGGTGAAAGTTTTATGGCTTGATGTGTTTGTGGGTCCCCTTGTAATGGGACCAGTACTTACCCCAGGTATACAAACTGTCTTTTTAGAGCCCATTCCCTAAGGTGCAATGCCTTACTCAGCCTTGATGCAGAAGGGAGGGACTAGGTCTGGCCCCAACATGGTATAACAGCCTGTGTTGACTACTCAAAGAAGGTCTTATTCTCTATAAGGAGGGGATGGGAGTGGGATGGGTGTAGGTATGGGGAGCAGGAGAAGAGGAAGGAGGTGAAACAAGGGTTGGTATGTAAAAGGAAAGAAAATATTTTTTTTTAAATCAAAACTTATATATTAAAAAAATAATGGGAATGGCCTTATATACCCTCCTCTCAGCACACAGGCTATGTCCCAATCTGCTGTCACTGAATGACTAGGAACTCTGACAGCACCTGTTGCAAGGCCCTCAGGCAGACTTTAGTTTGGCTCATAAGGAAGTAAGTTATGGGCATCCCTAAGCAACTAATTTGAGCCAATTTCCTCGACCCTATAGACCTGTCCTACTACAAATTTCTTGTGCTATTTTAGCTATTTTCATAATACTAAATTTTCCCATCAGTGAAGGGAGCATTGTGGGGTGGGAAGAAGGGGCTCATCCCAGTTTGTATGTTAGGTGCTTTTTTGGTCTCTTAAATCTTTGCTGTAAATGACTTTCACTTCTTTATTAAGGATTAGTCCCAGTATATTTTAACCGATTTGTACACTACTTTTTTGTATTTAACTTTCTACATGTTTATTGGTTCATTGTTGTTACTGGAAAGTGCTGCCTTGCAGACAATAGTTATCAGGTCTAATTGTTTCTCAGAGGATCTTTGGGATCTATGTCATATGAGGGGGCATCATCTGACTACTTTTCTACTCATATCCTACTTATCTATTTCTCTTTTCTTTTTGTCGAGACCTTGAGGAGTGTGTAAAATGAAGTACAATCAATGAGATATGATTGTATGTACATATATGCACACATACACATGTAGTCATTCACATGTGCTTATAATGCATATACACATACTCTCACATGAAAAAAAACTAATCACATACTGTTAAAAACAATTTCCAAACAATAATCCTGGAGCAAAAACAATAAAGTGGAACAATTCAATTTGTTAGATTAATGATTCTAGTGGAAGGAAAATCTCTGAGTGAAATCACTGTGTAGCTGCTCAGGACTTTCCCATCCCAGAGCCCACACCCAGGCCTCACCAGCCCTGATGACAGACAGTGCTGTTCATTAATGTGTCAGGACAGAGTATTGAACCCATCTTATCCGTGTGGCCACGACATGTAACCTATGCAGTCTTTCTTTTTTTTTTTTCCATCACAGGCAATTTATTTTGTTCTATTCATTCACAGTTAATACAGAAAATACTTGGA